TTTCTTATCCTTGGTTACAACTTGAAATTACAATCATAATCATAGTCCTTAATAATGAAAGAACAGTAAAAAAATGTATATTTAGTAGTTTTGTTAGGGGAGAGAAGCATGAACAGATCATTTGATAATGCTACTATATATTTTAGGAAGAAAAATTTTAAAAGACTTCATGATCTTGTAGCGTGGTAAGACATATAAAGGGAACGGTCTATAATCTGTTTTTCTATATTATTTCATCAAATCAAAAACAATGCTGTACTTCTAGACTAAATACTAAAAAAGAACCTATAAAAAGTATAAAAATCAGATGGAAGTTCACAGATTCAATATTTCCTCAGATTTTGGGTTTTTTTGGCAGTACTGGGGTTTGAACTCAGGGCCTCACATTTGGTAAGACAGGCGCTCTGCCACTTGAGCTACTCCACAGTCTTCCTCAGCTTTAATACAGAGCTGTCCCTGCCTATCTTCAGGGGTTACCTTCCAAGACCCTCAATGGACAAATGAAACTACTGATAGTCTATGTTTCTTTTCTTAATTCATACATAACAATGATAAAAGTTTAATTTAAAGTTAGGCAGAGTAAGAGGTTAGCACCAATAACTGATGACAAAATCAAACAATTATAGCAATATACTAGACTAAAAGTTATTCAGGTGTGGTCTCTCAAACTATCTTACTATACTGATCTAATCCTTTTCTTCATATTATGATGTAAAGTAATACAATGCCTATGTGACAAGATGAAGTAAGAATGAATGAGCTAGACAAGGTGACATGGTACTAGGCGACCACATCAGGGTTACCTGAACACAATCCGTGTGATACTGTGTCAATCAACCTGATAAGCTAAAGATCAATGAAATGATTAATGGGAAGGTAACATATACAACATGGATACACTGGACAAAAGGATGACTCGTATTCCTGGAGAGATGGAACAGGACAATGCACAATTTTGTAATGTAACACAGAACAGCACAAAATTTAAAATTATGAATTTGTTATTTCTGGGAATTTCCATTTAATATTTTTGGACTGTGGTTGACCACAGGTAACTGAAACTACAGACAATGAAACCACAGAAAAGGGAGGTGACTGTAACCACTTTTTTTTAGTCTGCATGAGAACTACTTCCTAATTATGAGCAATGTAGCCTTCAGTTTATCTAGGCATGCTTTTTAAAACACCAAACTAATCCTCATATCCTTCATCATAAGCCACTTCAAAATATGTACTATCAGTTCAGTGAAGTTGAGCGAGTTCAAAATAAGCCATTCTAAAATACATCACTCTGGGATATTGAATATTTATGTTAAAAAGACCACTGAGTTCCATTCTATTTCTTAAAAGCAGGAGATGAAATTCCCATGTGGAAGAGGCAGCACCCTTAAGGATGGGAATTCTGTGCAGAGTTGGTTAAAATGGCTCTTATCTTTTAAGTCTCCTGTATAATTTAGTTGCTTTTTCACAAGTTAATATTCTTGGTCCAATCCAGTCTGGAAGCACTGACTCTAATTACTACTTGTGGCTTCATTGCATTTCTTCATTTCTTATGATGGCTCTGATGCTATGTGAAATTTGTATTAAATAAATGTGTGTGCTTTTCTCCTATTGATCTGTCTTACGTCAATTTAATTCTCAGGCCCAGCTGGGACCTTGAAAGCATGGATGTGGAGTTTTGTTGTCCTTATCAAGTGCTATCTGTCCTCTGGGCACACTGTGGCATTTCTTGAAACACTCTTCTCCCTTTTGCTGTCTTACTCTTGGTTGTTCATTATGTCTCAGCTTCTCTAAAAAGCCTTTCCCCTAACTGTGTTATGTTCTTCACTCCTGTGTGTTCCCACAGACCACACTATCCTGAATTCATAGAGCCTCTTTATGCAAAGTATTTCCATTAAGTCTCGAATTAGCATACCTGACCCCAACTTCATGGGCTGTACAATCAAGCTGGGAAGAAAGGCTTCAAGGAAACAATTAGAAATAATTAATAAAATGATTAAAATACTCAGAGTGCCATAAAGGAAAAATAAAAAGGGGTTTATGGAAATGTGAGTAGCAGAACTTAACCCAAGTGAGCGTTAAGGAAAGTCAGGCTAACAGAAAGAAAATTCTAGGCAGTGTGGCAAACATGTGAAAACACCCTGAGGCAGATGAGAGAAGGAAATATGGCAGATTTTAGGGACCAGGAAAAAGACTACAGTAAGGTAAGGTTCAAGGATGTGCTAAGCTCAAAGCATACCAGAGGCTATGGCCACTGTGGCCAGCACCAAGAGTTCCTAATGAAGATATAGGTGCAGGGAGCTGCCATCATCCAACTGGAACCCCTTCAGGATGTACCTCATTAGGCCACCAAGTCCTGACAACCTCTGAGCCATGTTCACATCCCTCCAGGACTCCCCTCTGGATTGGCCATGTCTCTGTCATACTGATTTTTTTTTTTTTTTAAGCAAGTCATTCCCTCTTCACCCAGTTTGAGGCTCTCTCTGGACTTGTGTCTTGTTAAGTTTGAGGTAAGATTATCTGCTGAGAGGTTCAATGACTATACTATATTATAGATACTATCAATTAAACAAAACAAATGAGATTAACACAACTGCATTCCTACCTTTTAGTAATTTCAGTGGAACCACTGGAGAAAAATCGAAACACAGTTGTGAAGATTTATAGTTTTTTTCTAAGAAACTCAAAATCTTTATCTGGATAAAATAGATAACTTTCAATTGGCTATTTTCTGTTCTTATTAAACAAATATTTAATTATAGCAATTTATTGCTGGAAATAGACTACCCATTTGCTAAAGTTCAGCAGAGCTATCACAGAGATGAGAAATGCTCACTCAATTTCGTTTGTTGTGTGTGCACACTGAGCTGCTCGCCAATTATGATGGTTAATAAGGTTTTTCTTCAAAGGGAAAAAGATTTACTATCTCCACCTACCGAATACATGCTAGAGTAAATCTCTGATACACTTTATTGCTAGGGAGTAAATTTTTGTAGCATTACCTCTTTCACACCTACTCCATTCTGTCAAGTGTGTATTAACTATGTGGCTTGAATATAGGAGCCACGTGGATTGACCGCATCCCTTCCTCCAGTCCAAGACAATCAGGATGCCCTTACCCTACTTTGCCAAATTAGAGGCAGCTTAATTGATAGACCTTGGGAATGAAGGCTGATGATGGTGGCACGTGATTAGACAACCCCCTAGCCCACACCTTACTCTACCTACTGTGAAGGGTAAAGTACTGGAGAAAGACAGGGAAACCTGTCTGAAGACAAAGCCTATACAGCAGAGCTAAGATTAATCAAGGAAACAGAGATCTCACTGAGCTGTGCCTGATGGCTGCTCTAGTGCTAGATTATGGGGGCTGTGTTGAAATGTTACTATCAAAAGCATTCTAGGAAAACAGGTTATTTTCCTAGAATTTTTGGTTTAAAATTACATAATTAAGCAAGGTACTGGTGGCTCATGCCTATAATCGTAGCTATTTGGGAAGTAGAGACCAGGAGGGCCATAGTTCCTGGTAAGCTGGGGCAAAAAAGTTTGCAGACCCCATCTTAATGGAAAAGAGTTAAGCACGGTGGCATGCCATCTGTCACCCCAGTGATGGCAGGAAGCTTAAAACAGAGGATTGTTGTTCAGGCCAGCCCAAGCAAGAGGGGGACCTTATCTCCAAAATAACTAGAACAAAAAGGTCTGGAGGTGTGGCTCAAGCTGTAGAGTCTGCTTAGGAAGTGTGAAGCCCTTAGTTCAAACTCTAGTACAGCAAAAACCAAAACAAAACAAAATAAGAAACCCAGAACTGCTCATGTATCTCAGCTAACTTACTACTTTAACTACTACCCTTGGAAGGAACAAAAAAAAAGTTAGTTGTGATTCAATGTTTCAGTTTAATTTTATGGAACTTCCTAAGACCTAAGAAATTCTGTGTAGTATAACCAGGTATTTAGAAATACTTACAGTAAATTATAGGTTTGTATCATAACTAATTTGATTAAACATCT